ATGGGCAGCTATACACATCATCGTTGGAGCCACACGCAAGTGTGAGTAACGATACAAGAGCAAGTCTTACCCGACACTATTCCGATGATATCCCGGACGTCAGTCTGAGCGAGATTAGAATGGCTCTCCAGCACCTTAAAAACGGCAGGGCCCCAGGTGAGGATGGAATTACAGCGGAGCTTCTGAAAGCGGGTGGAACACCGGTACTTGAAGTCCTTCAGAAGCTCTTCAATTCCGTCCTCCATGGTGGCACTACTCCGGAGGCGTAGAGAAGAATTGCGGTGGTCTTGTTCTTTAAGAAAGGCGACAACGCTCTCTTGAAGAACTACAGACCGATTTCCCTTCTGAGCCGCGTCTACGTGCTGTTTTCGAGAGTCATTACGAATCGTCTTGCACGCAGACTCGACGACTTCCAGCCTCCCGAACAAGCTGGTTTCCGAAAAGGCTTCAGTACCATAGACCACATACATACCCTGCGGCAGATTGTATAGAAGACCGAGGAGTACAATCTGCCACTTTGGCGTATGTGGACTATGAGAAAGCTTTTGATTCCGTCGAAATTTGGGCGGTGCTACAGTCCCTTCAGCGGTGCCAAGTTGACTGTCGGTATATCGAAGTGCTGAAGTGTTTGTACAGTAGGGCTACGATGGCTATCCGAGTACAGAACCAAAGTTTGAAACCTATCCAACTGCAGAGAGGTGTAAGACAGGGTGACGTTATATCCCCAAAACTCTTCACCGCTGCGTTGTAAGACGTTTTCAAGCTACTGGACTGGAAAGGATACGGTATTAACATCAATGGTGAGTACATCACTCCCTTCGATTTGCCGACGATATAGTCCTTATGGCAGAATCGCTGGAGGACCTTAGCACTATGCTCAATGACCTCAATGGTGTCTCCCAACGGATAGGTCTTAAGATGAACATGGACAAAACAAAGATCATGTTTAATGTCCATGTCACACCTATGCCGGTAGTTGTTGGGAGCACTATGCTCGAAGTTGTTGACGAGTACGTTTACCTGGGACAAATAGTCCGACTAGGTGAGAGGTCAATCGACGAATTCAACTCGGCTGGGTAGCGTTCGGGAAATTACGACACATCTTCTCGTCAGGTATACCTCAATCTCTGAAAACTAAAGTGTACAACCAGTCCGTGTTGCCAGTGATGACTTACGGATCAGAGACGTGGTCCTTCACTGCTGGCCGTATGAGGACGCTCAAGGTCACTCAGCGAGCTATGGAGAGGGCTATGCTCGGAGTTCCTCTGCGTGATAAACTCAGAAATGAGGATATCCGCAGTAAAACCAGAGTGACCGACATACCCCAACGGATTAGTAAGCTGAAGTGGCAATGGGCCGGCCATATAGCTCGAAGAACCGATAACCGATGGGGAAGAAAGTTTCTCGAGTGGCAGCCTCGTACCGGTAGGCGTAGTGTAGGGCGACCCCCAACTAGATGGAGTGACGGCCTGGTAAGATATGCAGGAAGTCGATGGATGCAGGTGGCTGAGGACCGTGCTTTGTGGCGTTACTTGGGGGAGGCCTATGTTCAGCAGTGGACTTGTGAAGGGCTGTAATGATGATGATGATGATGATGACTAACCCCTCATCTGTCAACAGGTCTCTGGAATGAGTAAACCATTGCGCACATTATGTCAAGTGCCTTCTGGAGCTCGATCATTTCCCATGTATTTCTACCTGCTATATTGCTTAACTAACAGTTAAAACTTTATTTGTGATAAGAATGTGAACCCAAACGGGACATAAATTTTTACATAAGCCACTTAATTTTCAGTAGTCTTCACTGACTTTAAACTTACCCAAAACTTACCCTATCGAGTCACTTAAGTGAGGCGTGTTATCCTAGAGCTTGTGAGGTGAAAGAAATATGTCGAGAGCTATGTTATTTTTATGGATTAATGTTAAATATGTCTTTAAGTGGGTAAAGTAAAATGTTTATCAAATAAGGGTTTGATTTTGCGATTGTAACGACTTATGTGTATTGAAGTAGGAGGAGGTCGAATACATTAATTTCAAAATAGAATTGATAATGTGTTACGAAGGGAGCTGTCCTGATTCGTATGTAATTAGTTAGCTTATTTTATAATGTGCCGCGATCACGCGAGTTCCCTCAGAAGTGCCACGGTGAATGCGCTTAGTCGTGTGTTGGTGCTGTGACAGTCGATAAGATAATCTTTCCCTATTCTTGAGCTGGATTATGTACGTGATTATTGATTTTGACTACGTTACGTGTTGTGTTCAGTGGAAGAGACCCGTGTACATCCTGTGCGCATGGTATTGGGTTGACCCTGACACTGGTGGTTTCTAGGGTGAGTCGGTGGCGCAGCCGACAACAGACCTATGTAAATCCAGCCATTATTAGGTATCTGGGGTGACCTGCTAGAGACTGATGTAAATCCTGTTTGCACACGCGAGTATGTGCGGGGTATTCTGTTGCGTTGGAACAGACCTGTGTAAAACCTATGTGACTTGAAACGCTTTTGTGTAGCGTTGATAACTGTTCATGTTGACTGTTTTGACTGACTGACTTGTTTGGCTAATTGGGTACATAATCTGACACTTTTATGAACTATATAAATTTAGATCAACTGTTAATACGCGATATAAATAAATGTCTCTTAGATTGTGTGTATCTTCTCAGAGATCGACGATGGTGACGTCGAACAGCCGTAGGACGCGGTGAGTGTTGCTGACCCATCCACGAGTTCCTGCTGAGGGCTTCGAGCACGCAGTCCTGTCAGGAGAGGCCGTGTTAGAAAAGAGGGTCTGAATGAAGAGTGCCAACGGCGCGCCGGGCTATATAGGAGGGCGGCTGGCGTCACTCGCCCCTTTTTGGCATCTGTTATCACGGAGTGCGGAAGCCTTGCTCGAATACTAGCGTCATTATTTTAAATTATGTTTTAAGCTTTCAAGTTAGTTAATATTTGTTTGGCCAAAGGCCATTAAAATCTTTTTAAAAAGTCAATCTGTGTTTCTATTTGTAACAATATTATAAACAAATTCTCACGCACACTACAATAGCAGCAGTAAGCGACGCTTGGGCGTATTCTGTGAATCGTTCGAACGTCGGCTATCTGCGGTTTGCCCATACATTTAAGATAAGCAAAGAGATTTAAATTCTAATTCCTTTAAACGAATTCTTATATATATATTTTTTTTCTCAACTTTCCTTCTTTTATGAAAAAATCTATTATTTCGAGCCCGTTTTTAGATTTTTTTTAAAAACACGAAAAATTAAATTAAAACTAATTGAACTCATGATTTTTATTTAAATAATCAGTTCAGTTTTTTTTATTATGTTAGTAAGATCGAAAAATATTATTCATAATACATCGGTATGTTTTTTGTATCTAAATATAATTTTCAAAAAACACGATTTCCAAAAAAAATTCCGAGCAAAGCTCAGTCATCCAGATACTACATACTTAAATGTCTTTGACGACAAGTGACATAATTATTCAATTTGTTTGTGTTTCTTTGCAATTTTATTATACTTATTGCATATTGTGTGTAGACATTTAGTAGATACAAACTATGTATACCTTATAGAAGTGAGCTGTTATTTTTATATGTAAGTATCTACCTATCTATATCTGCCAAAGGCAAATGCCAGCTTTTACAATGAGTATTATATTCATTCAAATAAAATTAATTTATACCTTTTAGAATGGAAGATAAAGATTATAGACGAGGAAAAATAAGTCAACCGTGTTTATCAACAAAACGAAAAAAAATTCAATTTTCTTTGTAAATCGAAAAGATGGGTAACGCCAACTTCTAAAACCAACAGGTATACTATATTACATACTATTGCACATAGGTATCATACGTAATATTATTTACTCTGTGATCATACTTTGTTCGCCAAAATATAAAATTATGGAATATCTGATGTTGGTTTTAAGACTTCATAAAAGGACGAGGTTCTATGTTCGGCTGTATGCTTTTTCTTTTATTTTATTTTTTATGTATGTTCACTGATTTCTCCATCAATTGTGTATTACAGCTATTCATTTTTTCTTCGATAATTTATGTCTCACATTTGGCCCCATATAAATGTCATAGAAATCATTTCAACCACGACATACGTTGTAATTGAGTTTTATTGAAGTCGGTTGTACAAATTGTTCAATTTTACCACTTGTCTAGTAATAGATAATATTAGTCTGTTAGAAAATGTTGTTCGTATTGTGACGGCCCAATATTATTATTAATAATTAAATTCAATATAAAGGGGCATCAAAAATAGTCTTAAAAGATATATATTAAACAATAAAATTACATTAATAACCATAAAGTTAATATAAATACATTTCAGACATTAGACCAATAACAATAGTAAATTAAGGCAAAATATTGTCTTCCATAATAAATAAATTTATTAAAAACTTGAAAAAATATTTAAAATAAGATAAATAATAGAAATACAAGTCGAAAATATTATAAAAATAAAGATAAATAACATTTATAAGATAATTAGAAAATTTGTTAAACCCTAGATCACTAACCATTCGTCTCTCAGACTACGCATACCCCCGCATTTCATAGTTCGGTAGGTTCGCGGCACCCGCACTCCCTCCCCCGCTCAGTACCTTCCTGATTGGTCCTGTTAGTGACCCGTGTGCGCTTGTGGCGGTCGCATTCGCTTTGGAACAGGACATTTTCTAAAAATAAATCCAAGCGTTCGTCGCTAAAATTGTTGGAGCAGTATAATTTTCTCATCTGGTTCGGTTCGCGTCGTCTGACAGACGAAATGTTAGTGACTGTGTAACATTTTTTTTAGTTATAATATTTTTCTATTTTCAAGATTACTTTTATTATATTTTACGCTACTCGGTTTTTTACCTATTAATTGTAAAATAGGAATAATGTGCTATTATTTTGTGGAATAAAAGTAAAGGGAAAATTTATTTTGCACACTTTATGAATATTTTTGGACCATTTTACGATATTGTTTTGATTTTCAATTTTATTTTTAGATGGATTTAAGAGAAGATGAGGAGCGCATTCGACGTTGGTTGTGTGAGTCAGACATCGAGTCTAACCACGATGAAGTAGAGGAACTATCGGAATCCGAAAACGAAGATAATATGGTGGCAGATGCCCACGTAGGAACAGATGAAAGTGAGGAAGAAGGTTCGATGTCATCTGATGAGGAGATTTTCGTCAGCAGGCGCTCACGTAAGCGAAGATTTGTAGGCCAGTTGGGGTTTGAGTCCATCCAGCATCAGCAGGAGCCGCAGGAGCCTGAGTCATCATTTGTGATCCGTTACAATAAAATCACCTTTATGGAAAGAGCGGTTATAAATGGTCTACTAGACCTCGCAATCCACGAGCAAGAACATCTTCTCGTAATGTGATTTACGTAGTTCCTGTGTGCGTACGTAGTGCAGGTGTAGCCAAAGAAATAACAGACCCCAGAGAATTATTTCTCCTGTTCATTTCTCATGAAATGATCAATGAGATGGTTACTTATACCAACACGGAGATTGACATCAAGAAGTCTAAATACAAACAGGAGAAGTATACCAACCCGCATACTTCCACCAACGAAGTGACGGCTTTACTGGGTCTCTTGATACAATCAGCGACTATAAAAAGTAACCACTTGCCCACTAGAACACTATTTGACCATAAACGGAGTGCAATTACTTTTAAAGCGTGCATGAGTGCTGATGGTTTGATTTCTTACTGAGATGCCTTAGGTTTGACGACAAAACAATAAGAACAGAGCGGAGGGCCTCTGACAAGCTTGCTACATTCATACAATTTTGGGAGACATTCATAAGCAACTGTGTAAAATGGTATAAGCCCAGTTCATACATAACTATTGACGAACAGCTTGTTGGGTTCAGAGGACGTTGTCAATTTAGGATGTACATACCCAATAAGCCAAATAAATACGGTCTTAAGCTTATTATGATGGCAGACTCGAACACAAAATATGTATGCAATGCCATTCCATATTTAGGCAAGGGAACTAATCCAGGAACCAAACCTCTTGCGAGCTATTTAGTGAAGGAGATCATCAAACCCATACATGGTTCGAATCGAAACTTAACTATAGACAATTGGTTTAGATCCATTCCTCTTGCTTCCGATATGCTCCAGGCTCCGTATAAATTGACAATTGTTGGTACATTGCGAATCAACAAACGGGAAATACCCCAGGAAATAAAAAACTCTAGAGCACGGCAAGTGGGCAATTTAATGTTTTGCTTCGATAACGAGATGACCATGGTTTCATACAAGCCCAAGTCTAACAAGATTGTTTACCTTTTATCAACCACCCTTGATCAACCCACTGTCAATGATGTTACCAAGAAGCCGGAAATTATTCATTTCTATAATTCTACAAAGGGTGCAGTAGATACCGTGGATCAAATGTGTTCTATCATGAGCACATGCACACTATTCTATGATACTGTAAACATTAGTATCATAAACTCGTATGTTTTTTACGTATGCAATATGATCCGAGACCATAAGAAACCGCTCAAGAGGACAGAATTTGCCTTGCAAATGGCAGATGAACTAATAAAACCCTGGCTACTCGAGCGCTACAATACGGTGACTTTGCAGCGTGATGTGAGAAAGAGAATTGCAGATATTCTCAACATTGAAGTGCCACAAGAAATCTGTGTACAAGAGCTAAATAAAACAAGAAAAATATGTGGATTTTGCCCAGCAAAAAAAAGGCGTATGACAAAATATTTTTGTACATACTGCAAAAAGGCCATTTGCGGAGAGCACACAGTTCCTATTTGTAATAGTTGTAAGAATTAATATTGTTTATTTTGCATCGTTTTGTTTGATTACTTAAAGAAAGGACTTTCAAGTTTTTGTTTCTTTTATAAAATAAATAACAACGATTTTGAAAATATTTGCGTTTCATTGCGTAGTCTGTGAATCGAATGGTTAATGATAGTGTTACTCCGATTTAAGGTTAGTGATCTAGGGTAAAAATTGTCTAAGTCTTGGAAGGAGTTCATGTATAAAAGAAAATTTTCCTAAGTTATGGAAGGTGTTCATGTATAGATGTCTTGTATGGAGGAGCTGTCGGAGATACATACCTGCAGTTGTACATAATTATGGGGTGGTCGGGAGCCCGACTGCCTGAAGTACTGTAGCACAATGACTAGTCCCATATTAGGGACTTATGATAATAAACTCAATGATACAAAAGCAATACTATAGAAGGTCTCCATGATGAATTTGCATTACAATAGTAAGGTCGTGGGTTCGAACCCTATATATTAATGGCTTATGAAAGTAAGGTCTATGATACAAAAGCAATACTATAGAAGGTCTCTACGATTAATATGTATTACAATAGTAGGGTCGTGGGTTCGAATCCTATATATAAATGACTTATGAAAGTAAGGTCTATGATACAAAAGCAATACTATAGAAGGTTTCCATGACGAATTTGCATTACAATAGTAGAGTCATGGGTTCGAATCCTATATATGCATGACTTATGAAAGTAAGGTCTATGATACAAAAGCAATATTATAGGAGGTCTCCTTGATGCATAAGCATTGTATGGAGTGGTCGGGTGACCGACTGCTCCTAGTACTGTAGCAAAATGACTAGTCCTTATTAGGGACTTGAAAAGGAATATTATGGTGGCGTGTATGCTGCTTCACGAGCAATTGGTCCGAGGTAAACTTGGGCTCGCTAACAGATGTGTCCTAGACATATCATCTTAGTGCTGGTGGTAAGCGGGTTTGTTGTAGCAATACGGCTTTCTCGTGGACATCGTACACCCATGCCGTTTGTGGGCGACGTCGTAGCGCATAGCGATGCGTCGTCTATCTTTCGGATTGAGATGAGTGTGTTTGGTAGCAATTTTAAGTGTAACCAGCATACTGAACTTCATGTCTTAGTGCATTAGCGCTGTGATACGTGGAGTTTTGTCCACTGGCATCTTAGTAGCGTGCTACTATGATACGTTGGCAATATTTTTTATATAACAACAATAAAAACTTTGTTACCAATCGATAGGGGTCATGTGGGTGTGTTGTGAGGGGGGCGCCATCCGTATGATAGTTGCATTGATGCTTACTGCTACTTGCGGTATTGCTCCTTTGATGGATCTGCGGGTGTACTGCGCCTGATTCGACGCACTCTTGTGGTTCTGGTCGATGGAGGTATGCGGGTGGTGATGTCTGCTGGGATGTATGGGGGGACCTTGGGATGGTGTAAGCCCGACGATAGTCGTATAGATGTTTGTTGCGTTCTGCAGCATTGCATCTCTGCGATGGTAGTTTGGTGGGACGCTATTCTCAATGGCGCTCCGTCTTGGTTTAACTCACGCCTGAGTAGCTTTGCCCAAGTCGGGTCCCTTCATTACGGGGCGGAAGACTGTCTGCTCTCCATGGTGTTTTATATAACAACATAATATTATATCTGTGTAACTTTCCCACTATTGAATGATTGAAGGAAACTTGTTGGTGGGTGAGACAAACATGATCGAAAATGCATTTACTCAACGTCAGTGACACAAAAACTTTCTGACGGCAAATTATTACTTTTATTTTATAACTGACTTTTGGCTATATCTGCCGTTGTATTGGTTGGTGGAGCATATGTGTCGACCTCATGCGGGTGGTAGCTGGCGGGAGGATCTGAGGAGATTCTCAAGGCTGCGGCCGAAAGTCGCACTACGTGGGACCCCATTCCCTTGAGGTGAGCGATAGACTCATGACACGTTCTGCGGCTAGTAGCCGTGCTGATCATGCAATTGGTGGTGATGCCATACACTTCCATCACGTCTGCAGGAGCGGCGGTCTGGCCGGTGGTGGCGCTCACGGAGGGTTTACGGCCAGTGTGCCTATTTTCCTAAACCGTGTGACGTACATTCACTGTGGCTGGATTCGTTCGTATTCTGTTTGGCGTTTACACGCATTGACATGCGCGACTTCGGTCGATGTTTGTGCTTACGCACTAACAAGGGGCCAAGCCTTTTTTACTGGTTCGCCAGTTATTTTGCTGTGGACTTCGGTCCAGTTCCCAAATTAGCGTTCCCTTCGGGGGGGGAGTGCATCAAAATGGTTGGCGCTCACCGTGCACGGCGTGTGCCTCCCCTACATTTTTTAAATAAATGTAGGAGAGCGAAGCCCTTGTATCGGGTATTTTGTATAAATATATTTTGAGCTTTTTCCGAGCGGGAAGGGATAAATAATAATAAATTAATAATGTAAACCTAATGCAAGTAAAATAGGAACGTTTTATGTTCTTAACTTTTCTCGAGCCCTGTCTTCGTGAACGGGGTTCACTTAGCTTATAAGTCACTACCAACAGCTTTCAATTGCTCTAGTGAATATTCATTCTTCCAAAAGACACCTAAAAGAACTAAGTTACTAAACATACACAACGTAAATAAGGGTCCTAACTAAGACGATCACGCCAAAAATATTGCGAACGGCCTATTATTAAACCTTTAGAAAGATCATTTAAAAAGATCAAAACATATTTTATTAATCTTGGTCACAAATATATATAATTATTATGTAAAGGCGAATATAATACATTTAGTATTTAATATATTTATTATTATGAGAGAGGAGGGAAGCGTTACTTACTTACTTACTTACTTACTTATCTTCACGCACAATCCCTAACGGGGTAGCCAGAGAGAACAGATCGCCAAGTTTCACGATCCTTAGATACCTCTTTCGCTTCTTTCAGGTTCATTAACTTCTTCATACATGCACGTCTAGGTATCCGAGTACTCTTGACCCTCCCCCTCTTCGAGCAATTTGCTCACATGGTCTTCGAAAGTTAGTCTCGGTCTACCTCGACACCTTTTAATATTTACTTTCGCTCTATATATTTTCTTCACCATTCGGTCTTCACTCATTCGTTCAACGTGCCCAAACCATTGGAGTACGCCCCTATCAATGTTTGTGATAAGGTCATCTTTCAATCCTGCCATATTGCGAATCTCTTCGTTTCGCTTTCGGTCGGTTATGGTAACGCCACACATTTTACGAAGAGATCGCATCTCCACTGCATTCAACTTGCTTTTATACTTCTTCTGGCATACCCAGGCTTCGCTGCCATATAACAAAGTCGGTATCAACACTGCGTTATGTATTGCAAGGCGTGCACTCTTCACCACGCCTTGCCTTTTGACTAATGCATTCAGGGCACCATTGACTTTGTTTCCGGCAGCGACACGCCTATCCACATCTAAATCACATCTTCCATCCCAGCTGAAAGCACTCCCCAAGTATACAATTTCATTTACCTGTTCTAGACATTCCTGATTTACCCATATTTCACATTTCGTTCTCTCTTCGTCCTTTTCAAATACCAGAACCTTAGCTTCATTAGCATTCAAACGGAGACCTTT